TATCTATCTATCTATCTATCTATCTATCTATCTATCTATCTATCTATCTATTATCTATCCAACTATCTATCATCTATTATTACAGTTTATTTACTTAGTATCCCAGCTATAGCCCCCCTCTCTCATCTCCTCCCTTAGTCCACTGATAGGGGAGGAACTCCTCCCCTTCTATCTGACCCTACCCTATCAGGTCTCAGGACTGATTGCATTGTCTTTCTCTGTTGCCTGGCAAGCTTGTCATCCCAGGGGAGGTGATCAAAGAGCTTGCTACTGAGTCCATATAAGAGACAACTCCTGCTCCTCTTACTAGGGAACCTACATGGAGGGAGACTGAACTTCCTTTGGGCCATATCTGAGCAGGGGATCTAAGTTCTCTCCATGCATGGTTCTAGGTTGGAACTTCAGTCTCTGCAGGCACCCCTGGTCCCAGATATTTTTGGCTCTGTTGGTTTCCTTTTGAGCTCTTGTCTCCTTCAGGTCTTTCTATCTCCCCCTTCTTCCATAAGATTCCCTGTACTCTGCTCAAAGTTTGGCTGAGTCTCGGAGTCCCTCCCCCCCTTTTTTAACTAAGGTAGAGGATTTAGCATTCGAAGTTCTACTATGCTGAGGTTACAGTGCCATTGAACTCCCTTGAGGTTTGAGTTGGATGATACTCTAGAAAGGATGCCAATGAGACACATCTTTCAAAGACGCACAAGGACATTTCTCTGAGGAAATATAGATGGGAATGTACAGATAAACAACTGCAAGAAAAAATTAGGTTCTACATGGATAAAGAAACACTACTTTGTTTGGCACGGTGGTGGGTGGTGCATGCCTGTAATCCCAGCCCTTAGAAAGGCAGAGGCAAGTAGATCTCTGTGAGTTCGAGGCCAGTCTTGTCTACAAAGCATGTCCAGGATAGCCAACACTGCACAGAGAAACGTTGTCACAAAAAAAAGAAAAAACAATCTCCATTCCATTAGCCTTTCTGAGTGAGGAATGATCATTTACCCATGGTCCTCCTTCTTGCTTAGCTTCTTTAGGTGTACACATTTTAGTATGATTATCCTATATTATATGTCTAATAATATGTCTTATAATTGAATGTCTTTCTGCTTCTGGGATAAATCACTCAGGGTGATCTTTTCTAATTCTGACCATTTGTTTGCAAATTTCATGATTTCCTTGTTTTAATTGCTGGGTAGTATTCCATTGTATTCCACAATTTCTGTATCCATTCTTCAACTGAGGGATATTTGAGTTGTTTCCAGCTGACAATTACAAATAAAGCTGCTATGAACATAGTTGAGCAAATGTCCTTGTTGTGTACTTGAGCATATTTTAAATATATACCTAGGAGTGATATAGCTGTATCTTGAGGAAGCAATATTCTTAACTGTCTGAGAAAGCACCAGGTTGATTTCCAAACTGGTTGTACAAGTTTACATTTTCACCAGCAATGGAGGGGGGTTCTCCTTTCTCCACATCCTTTCCAGCATGTGTTGTCACTTGAGTTTTTGATCTTAGTCATTCTGATGGGTGTAAGGTGAAATCTCAGGGTCATTTTGATTTGCATTTCCCTGATGACTAAAGACATAGAGCATTTCTTTAAGTGTTTCTCTGCCATTCTGTATTCCTCTATTGAGAATTCTCTGTTTAGCTCTGTACCCCAATTTTTAATTGGATTACTTGATTTATGGCTTTTTAACTTCTTGAGTTCTTTATATATTCTAGATATAATCCCTCTGTCAGATAAAGGGTTGGTGAAGATCCTTTACCAGTCTGTTGGTTGTTGTTTTGTCATCGGAAGAGGAAGAAAACAGGGAACAGGACAGGCACCTACTGTACGGGCCTCTGAAAGACACTACCCACCAGGGTATCAAAGCAAATATTACGGCTCATAGCCAAACTTTAGGCAGAATGCAGGGAATCTTTTGAAAGAAGGGGGAGATAGAAATACCTGGAAAGTGCAGGAGCTTCACAGGGAGAGCAACAGAACCAAGAAATCTGGGTCCAAGGGTCCTTTCTGAGGCTAATACTCCAACCAAGGGCTATGCATGGAGATAACCTAGAACCCATGCACAGATGTAGACCATGGCAGGTCAGTGTCCAAGTGGGTTTCCTAGTAATGGGAAGAAGGGCTGTCTCTGACATGAACTCAGTGGCTGGCTGTTTGCTCATCTTCCACTGAGGGGTGAGCAGCCTTGCCAGGCTAAAGAGGAAGACATTGCAGCCATTTTCCTAATGAGACCTGATAGTCTAGGGCCAGATGGAAGGGGAGGAGGAACTCCCCTATTAGTGGACTTGGAGAGGGACATGGGAGGAGGTGAAGGCAGGTGGGTAGGATTGGGAGGGAATGAAGGAAGGGGCTACATCTGGGATACAAAATTAATAAACTGCAATTAATATAAAAACTAAAAAAAAATGTTCAAAAAAGGAAGTGTGGTGACAAAGTGAAAGGGTATTTGGAAATCAGGAGGCAGCAAGAGAATGTTTCTTTTATGAAAGAAATATGAAGAGAGGTGTCATGCCCAATGGGTCCTCTATACTCTAAAAGTTGATCCCCACAAATAGAAGGCATTTTCTTAATCGACCTCCAAAAGGAGACCAACAGAGTCTTAAAAACTGAGCTGTGAAGTCTGTGAGGAGAAGGATACTCCAATCAAGGACAATGCATGGAGAAGACCTAAAACCCAGAATCAGATGTAGCCCATAGGCCCAGTCTCCAAGTGGGGTCCGTAGTTAGGGGAGCAGGGACTTTCTCTTGCATGATCTCACTGCTTCTGGAGCTGTGCAGCCTTGCCAGTCCACAGAGGAAGACAATGCAACCAGTTTTGATGAGACCTGATAGGCTAAGGTCAAATAGAAGGGGAAAAGGACTTCTTCTATCAGTATACTAGGGGAGGGGCATAGAGGGAGAAGAGGGTGGGATTGGGAGGAGACGAGCAAGTGAGACACAGCCGGATACAAATTGAATAAACTGTAATAAATGATAAAAAAATAAAT